AGCTCTTCCAATGCATGTCAACGGAGATGTTCACATCTTGCAGCTCAATGTCACCTGTAGCTTGCAGCTGAAGCTTGTCGCTCGAACATGAGCTATTTTTCGGCGTTTTGGCCCCAATAGACTTTGATAGACTGCCTAAAGAAGTGCATACATAGCACGACAAAATGTGCACTGTAACTCAATGTAGCTCAAATTCGATGAGCTCAAATCAGCGCTGAAAAAGCGTTTATTTTGTTGTAGCTCAGTGTGAATTAGGTCTAAGGGAAAGGTGGCTGCTCTAGGTGAAATGCATCATCACTATATACTCGGACTGGGGTATCTGTATACGTGACCTTACACCTTACAGAAGTTACCAGTACATCAATCTCGTATTGGCCACTTCAATTTGTGCACCAAGTCTTGAGGAATTATTTAACCTTAATAAATTCACATGAAACAACAGCTCTTCCAAACAATGTAAGATAAATATGGTAAAAATGATTAAGATCAGGCCAGATCTGTTGAACTCTGTAGACTGTTATAGCACTCTTTATTTATGACATTGAGATCTTGTTTTTTGTAAGCATGTAACCCTGTAAACTAATAAACAAAGAACACCACAGTGTTTTAATGTGATTTGAATAACCTTTATTTTTATGCAAGAACATAAAATAATAAACAAGCATCTTTAAAAATAGGAATGCCAAAAAATGTTACCCAGCAAACATATTGCAACTGTTAAAATTAAAAATAAACATTACTGTTTATCTTTATCTTGAGTTTTATGTAAATCCATGCAGCAAGAATCCTAAAAGTACCTCACAGGGTAACTAGGGTAACTAGTGTACTTTATGATGCCTATGCTCTGTTAATTCTCTCTCTCTCTCTCTGCATCCCATACCTTTGAAGTCAGGATTAATTCTGATTGTTGGCTGTATGATACATTTTGGTATGGGACTTTTACAGCAGCCTTTGTGCATGTGAGAGGCAGCAAGGGGCTGCAGAGCATGTGCTTTGGAATAGCTTTCTTGCATCACAAGCAAGGGTTCTTAGATCTCAGAAAACTGGAGTGGTCCAATGTAATATGGCATTGTCTGAAAAAAACAAAAACATTATTACAAGTATGCATCTCAAAGTTTAATTGTTACTTCTATTGGGAGGGTACCTTTAGCCCTTATTCACACAGGAATCAGCTGGCACATACAGCTCCGTGCTGCGTGCACGGTCGTATCGAGCAGCTCCCGGGAAGGACGGGTGCTGTGTGTGATTAGTACATAGCCCCCGTCCTTCTCTATAAGACTACGTGGCCGTACAGCCCCCTACGCTCACCCGCCCCGCACGTATGTGTTTTGGTGAACGTACTCGTACGCTGACAGGATGGATCCTATCTGCGCCCGAGCCCTGAAACACGCACCCCTACAGACCTGCACTTGAGGTGAGCGTAGGGCGGCGTACGGCTGTATACTCCCATAGAGAAGGACGGTGGCTGTGTACTAATCACATGCAGCACCTGTCCTTCCTGAGAGCTGCTCGATACGGCCCTGAACGCAGCACAGAGCTGTACGTGCCGGCCAATTCCAGTGTGAATGAGGCCTTAGTAAACAAAACCGGGACAATGCATATTATCATGCAAAAAGAATTTACATATCCCCTAAAGTTCAATGAAAATACACACATGCTGCAAGAAGTAGCGTCTTGGCTTACTTACACAGCAAAATGTGACAAACGTACTTGCAGTAAAGTCACTTTGGTGTTGAGTTACAAATGCAACAAAGGTCTTAGAATATACTTTGATGAAGCATGTTGATACAGTAGGTGGAAATCACACACCAGCTATTTAGGAATTGCTCCACTCCTTAGAATGTTTTGTAATTTAATGCTGTGACCGCTCAGCTATCCTTTAACAAGCTCTTTAGTGTATTCTTACAGCTTTGTGATACTTAAGCATTAGATTTAAACACCATTAACACTGTTACCACATCCTTTATGTGAGCATGGTTTCCACTGAATCATGGGTGTTCTGTTAGAACTATAATTGGGCATTTAATTAACTGTTGTAACTACATTTTAACAAAGTTCAGTCTCCCAGTGTGGACTGGCTACATGTTATGTAGGACTTGAACTCAATTCTCTAACAGCACATCATTTTGCTAATGTGTATTATTTGCAAATGTTTATGTTTTAAAGTGAAGTCACAGACATTCAGTCATAAAGGCATTGCACTTACAGCCTCCATTACCATAGTGTTACCTTCTCTTTCCTCTTACAGCAGTTATTCATATGGCTGCACAGTCCATTGGCCACCATAGCTAGTGCTAGTGCACACAGTGATCAGCACTCTCGTTCTTCCTCTGCAATACAAGTCTGTGTGAGTACACTTGTGCAGAGGGCTGTGACTGTTAATCAGCTATGCCAGCATAGAGTTCGGCAGTGTGAGGGGAGGAAGGACTATTTTTCACTGAGAGGAATGGGTATTATAAGACAATTTATAGAAAAAAATTGCAAATTATATGACTCAAATTAGTCACAAATTATAACATGGAAGTATAGGGCTATAAAGGAATACATGGTATAAAACTTCAATATGGCTTTAACCAGTTGACATCCGCGGTGTTAATCCCCCTTGCCATCCAGGCCATTTTTCCGTATTCAGCTGATCTCCCTTCCTCGTCCTCCTGACGCCCTCCCGAGCCGGTCCCGGGCCTGAGATGGGGCAGCAGATCCCGGGATTGAAGGTAAGGGGTCAGGAGGGGGGCGGCAAAGCGAAAGCGAGCAGAAAAAAAATGCCATCTGGAGACGGCAACCCACCAATGGAGGAGTGCGGTCTGTCCGGGAGGACGGCAACTGGTTAAAGTGGAGTTTTTAATTCACTTTAGATTTTCACATAAATCAATAAGACTTACTAAATACATGGGGGGAATTGGTCAAAACTGGAGTAAACAGAATCTGGAGCAGTTGCCCATGGCAACCAATCAGCTTCTCTTGTCAGTTTGCTCAGGTAAGATTTGAAAATGAGAGAGAGAAACTGATTGGCTGCAGTGCAAATCTGCTCCAGATTTTGTCTGCTCCAGTTTTTGATCAATTCCCCCCATGATATTTTACTGGTTTAGGTTGTATTTTGTATACATAAATCAGTTCACAAAAATGATTATAAGTGTGTGTGTGTGTGTGTGTGTGACCCTAGATTCCAAATAGCCGTGTTTGTGAGGTTCTGTGAGGTGCCTGTTGAGGAGAGCAGGAAAAGGGGCGACTCAAGGTGAATAAACTAGCACTTTGCGATCCTCCAGTGCTTTAGATGCGGAGGCTTGCAATGCTTTAAATATATGTGCAGCCAAAACATTTTTTTTTAGTTTTGGATAGAGTGGGATGGCATATGAATCCTTTTAGGTCTATAGTCACCTGGGGCGCTATGACTAATGCGCCCTGCTGCACCATATTTGTAATGTGCCCTCTGCCACCTTTCTGGCCAAAATGTCACAGGTTGCTAAAAGCTGGGTGAGGAGATGTGTAAGGGCCATACACATCTCGCTGCCCAGCTATTGGCAACCTGAGAAGCTCTAGCCAGCGTCCCACCCAGCTCCTGGTAACCAGTGAAATCAGAGCTTGTCAGGGTATCAACCATAGCTGGAGCCAGAGCTGGGCACTAACCCCTCCCCCACGTTAGCATGCATCATCATCAACTTCCACCCCCTCCCGATAGCCTTCACCACCAGAACTCCCCCCTCCCGGCTGCCTAAGCCATTAAAAATGGTAGGGACCCCCCCTGCATGTAATGGTAGTATAATTGGGCCCGAAGTGAAGGGAAATGTTATGTTTTGGTTCAATGTACACTTTAAATCTGGACTGCAGGAACACAGCTGTAAGCAAGATTAAATACATGTAAGAGAACTGTCCTGAGATTTACACAGCTCCGCCCAGCAGCAAAGCCCTGTGTGGCAGAGCAGGAGACCAGATTTTTCTCTGATGCAGTTAAGTAACACTTATAGGTCTCCTCCCCACACTGTGACTGGTTAGTAAAAGAAGCAGTCTGTCACTCTGCTCTTTTCTTCTATCAGCACACCTCCTATCAAGGCACTGCAGCACAACCAGTTGGCTGCTTCTCCCTCCCCAAACCTGAGCTCTGCTGTACCGGGGCTACAAGAGACTAATACATAGTCAAATTCAGGTCCTTAATGGCTTGCATTAAAAGCATACATTTAATGATGTATTAATGAATACAAAACTGCATTACAGTAGAACTCCAGAGAAAATTTCTTTTAACCCTTCCAGTGGGGCTACGCTCACAATGCAAGGGTTAAGTGCTCATTTTGGTTTAGGGAGCAAAATAACAGTTATACTCACCTGATCCTCCGAGCTGGCATGTTCTTAGACTGGTCCCAGGAGCCACTCTCCCCCTCCACTGCAGCACTCTATGGTCCCGTAAATCATCACGTTCTATAGATACCATTGCTGAGACATACCCTACTGCAGCGTAAGGGGAGACAGGGTTGAGGGAGTGTTGTGACAACTGGCCAACTCTGAGGATTGGATGAGTATAACTTTGTTATTTTCCTCTCTTGACCAAAACGAGCACTTAACCCTTGCAGTGCGGGAGTAGCCCCACTGCAAGGGTTACAAATTATTTTCCCTGGAGTGCTGCTTTAATGTGTGTCGTTATAAATGCCCGGAGTTCAGCTTTAAATAACCATTTCCTACAAAGAAATAACGATTCCATATCTACGAACAATTTGCTGTGCCATTTGAACATCCTGATGAGAAAATGATCATTAGATAAAATAACAAACACTGTTATAATAACTTGCGGCAGCTTAGCGCATTGACTCCAACGTATTTGAAGGTTATCTGGCAATCTTCAGAATCTCTCTGCTTTCTTCATGGAAATTTGAAGTTTAACATACTGTAAAATGATTTGCTTTCTTATTTTTATATATATATATTTTTTATTATTATTTTTTTTTTTAAATGGGTCCAGTGACTGGCTTTCTGCCCAGATGCTTATAATTTATCCAATTCCCTTTCAGCAAATCTTCTTGATAACATGCTGCTGAGAAGCTCCGGAAAGCTCAATGTGGACAGCAGGAAGGAGGACACGGAGAGCACAGCCCCTGCCCCTCCACAGAGGTTGTTGTCATGCTACTGTCATCACCATTGCCCAGACGACACATCCAACAATACTTGCTGGTTGGTATACATTACAATATTGGCCATTTAGCCATCATTTGTTATGTCTTTTTTTGTGTTTGCTAGCATGGGTGGGCCTCTTTCCTTTTTATATAAGAAGTGAAGTCTAATAAGTGATTGAGATTGCTTTATAATGTATTTAGATGGGCATACCTATGTATATTTTTTTTTATAGAGATCAATTTTGTAGTTTTAATGGACAAATTCACTTTCGCATGATGTAGAGCACAGTACATGGCTACACTAGTTGTTTTGTAATTTCCATTTCAATTTGCTGTCAGCTATTATTTTTCTAAAGCTGCCAAAAACTTAAACGATGCAGTCATGGTAAATAAAGGGATCTTGTACACGATATGTGCAGAAAACAAGCCTCCCGAAATCTAATTTCTTGCTTATGTGATTGCTTTGTCACCGCTCTTCCCATAAGTATGCAAAAAGATTTACATCACGTTACAGGCATTCGCTGTAAAAGGATTTTAATTTTTGAGAGATACTTTCAGAGAATCTTTCAAAGTAGGGCCCCTTTGCACAGATGCCCTCCTGATAAGAGCAGTATGGAGCAGATGTCACTGCTGTGACATCCGTGTCTGTCCATTTTTTTCCTCCATCTTGCGATGTCCCCCCCATGTCTGTCTATGGGGAGTCGGATGTAAACGGACATGTGTCTGTTTACATCAGCTAAGCTAACATTCATATATCCAGAACAAATTAAAGGTAAACGTTTGCAATTAGTTCACTAAAATACTTGCAATATAAAGGTCCACCTGAAGGAGTATTTTTCCTCATCATTTCCGCTTTTACAGTCAAATTTGAGAAAGCAGCAATTACTAAAAAAATTAGTTATGTTTTGTGGCTTAGAAACATGTAATATAAAATAAGTGTTATGCCTATTTGGCTGCAAAAGGGGCAATGCACATTTAGGGGCAACACCACTAAGATCCAGACCTAGAACAAGCATGTATGTGTTGTAATTTACAGGGGGTGTTGGCGCCCCCCATTGGGGTAAATAACCTTTGCAGGGAATAAACATTTTCAATTACTTCAACTCTAATGAGAGACATTGGTGGTTATTCATGTAGGAGCCGAAGGCTCCAGTCGTAACTTCGAACCGAAGGGCTGCTGTACGGGCTGCTGTACGGACTGCTGTACGGGCTATTCACTTCGGGCGGCTGGCCTGTTTCGGGCCAGACGCCCAAAGCAGGGCGAATGGCCTGCAAAAGGCTGGCCTTTCCCCCCGCAAATGACAGCTGGCGGATGACAGATCAGCATCCCCAAGTGACCATTATTGTTCATTAAACAATAACAACTGGATGGAAGGCTCTAACAGGTTCCCGGCCAATAGGAAACAGTTGCTCGCTATATACTGAGCTTTGGGTCACAAAACGCAGTTAGTTTATGTACTCCCTTGACCCTTAAGAGAACTATAGGATAAAAAGTTTACCCCATAGTTCTCTTTTAAGTACAGAAGGGGTAGCCAAACTCTAGCTCTCCAGCTGTTGTGGAACTACACTACCTATATGTTATTGCAAGACTCTGACAGCAACAGGCATGACTTCCAAAGGCAGATGACTGCTCACCCCTCTTCCCCTCTGCTCCAGCTGTGGTATGTCACTTGGCATCCTCACATCTAATGGACCTGCATTAGAAGTGATAACATCACAGGTCCTTAGACCACCAGAGCCTGGGAAAGAAGAGGCTACGGGGACCAGTCCAGCAGCCAGGTGGGACCGAGGATCAGGTGAGTACAACGTTGTTATTTTCATCCCTAGACTAAAACGAACACTTAACCCTTGCAGCTCTGGAGTAGCCGCACTGCAAGGGATAATTTGAAAAATCCTGGAGTTACTCTTTAAGATCGGAAAATTAAAGGGTGGAAAAAGGCATTTGTTGTGTCTACACATTAAAAACTGGGCAAATATATGACTGACAGGTGCCTTGTGTACTTCTACAATATTTACACGTTCACTTGCTCTATGACAAAAATAGTAATATGGCCATTTCTAGCTGTTGCTGTTCTTTGGTCAGTTTTAGTACTGTGTGTAAGCAGTACCTATGTTAGTTTCTAAATATCTCGATTGTTGAATCTTCCCTTCATGCCTCTGTTAATCACACCAAATACAGCCAATATTAGTGCTCATCATGGAACGGGCAGGGCAGTGTTGGTTTTACAGCTACAGTTGCCTTAAAAAAGCAGAGTTACGCATTTTCAATACTCTGGGATATCAGCCAAGTCTGGCTTTAGTCCGTCTCTAGTGATCTGTGCCATGTGGAAACCTACCCTAATACCAAATAGAACGTTCTCACAGTGTTTTACAGGGTGTTAACATCATTATTAATGGAGAAAACTTGAAAGATTGTTTCAAATGGGATTATTGTTGGACATAAAAATGTAGGCAGGGAGGAAAAGCGATGTATCTTTTTCAGAAAGAGCAAAGAGAATATGTGAGCCCTACAGCTGCCAGTAAATAGAATATGCCCTTCTCTGCTGTCACTCAACAGCTCGCTGCTCTGAGTACACCTGGTATATCCTTGTTCATACAGTACATAGACTTATTTAAAACAGTGGTGTCAAGTGCAGCCATTATTTACAAAGGATAGAAAAGCAGACTTCACATGCTTCCTTAATTGATTATAATGAACTGAAATCTAACTGAGTGCATGGTAGTGCTTTCAAAACCCTGATTAGTTGTGTGCTTCCAATATAACCTGTATATTGTCCTAGTAGAATTTAGGACTCGTTCACATCATAAGTAGTGACTGTTTTTTTTTTCTCAGCAACTGATTAACGCCAGTCACCGCTAGGGCACATAGAAAACAATTGTGCCCTGTTCACATCACAACGCGGGTGTGGTGTACAGTGTGCCGTGCTGCAAAAAAAAAAAATGCAGACATGTGCACTATGTTGCACCCTTCAGGTAGAGACCATATGCACTTTATATACCATATACAGTTTATACACTCCAAATAAAGTTAACAAAAAAAAAAAGGTAAACAGTGTAATGCGCTGAGACAGCGCATCATACCACGCTCCCGCCCGACCTGTCACCACAATAGCCAGCACACTAAAACTGAGCATTTTAGCCTGCAAGCTGATCTGAACGAGCCCTTAGTGTTAGAAGGTAATATTTTCTGATAGAAATCTACTCATGTGAACCCCAGGAGTGACTGCACAATTTCTTTCTACTCACTTACTATTGTATCTCTGAGACAGGAAGAAAAGGGAAATCTCCCAAATGGGACATAGACAGCAAAAATAATCATGACAGATCTACAACACTAATAATAAGAAAAAATTGCAGTATCTCTGCAATGTACACACCTTCCCCTTGTTTTATACCTTTAAAGACCCTTTAGGTACAGAAAATATCTGTTCATCTGCCAGAAATGCACTAAGTTCCCAAGTCCTGTTGTAGGCTAACAATAGACAACATTTATGTGGACTAAGTGGTGTCAGCCCTGTCCAGTTGTCTTTTGCTAAAGTACTCAGACCCACTGACAAAAATGTTTATCATTCTGAAGTCGCAAGGAGGGCTAATTATTCTACCTAAGAAACACAGGAAGTGTGGAGAGGACACAGGACAGCTCTAAATTTTAGACATGATCAACAGATATTTATTTGCACTTATCAAACAGATAAAACAAAGACATTTTCAATGTCATAATTACAGGCCACAAGGGAGCGAAAATTAGAAGTGCATTGTTAGGGTTTACATATGCTGTAGGCTCAGTTCACATCTATGCAATGTGGGAGCGTATGCAATGCTGCACGCGATCCAGCATCACATATTGCAGTGTTAGGTTTGATGTGTTGCCACTATTGCTTAATGGCAGCCAGCACACCTAGCACACACATCACATTGGCATTGTATGGCTCCACATCTCATGGTAACCTATTACCAAGGTGGATGCACTTTAAGTACGACTTAGCCTGCTGCAATGCACCACAAGTACCTCTGCAATGTTGCATCACAGAGGTATGAATGAGGGCTCTAAGGCTCATTCACACTATCTACAAAGCATGCAGGGGAGCAGGAGGCCACAGATGTCCTGTAAACTATAACTATAAATTCTGAAGGATGCCACACATTTCTATGCATTACATACTTCCTCCTACTAGACACCAATAATCGAGGGGATTTTTAGTTTACTGCCTGTTTTTGTGTTTACACCTGTTACTTGTAAATTCTATTATTGCATCAAGACAGGCCTGAAAAAACAAGTTATGCAACAGCAAATGGCAACCTGCTGTGTTTTCCCACCTTCTGTTGCCTGCACATGATAAAAAAAAATAAACACTGGTCTGTATAAATGAATATGTTGTGTACCTACAAGTCCCATATTGGCATAATTGTTCTAGTTTTAAAACACTCAGGTCCATGTAGCTTTAGACTAGGGCTTGTTCACACCATGCCTGGACCATGTCCAGACCAGAACAGTTTGTTCCCGGACCAAAAAAGCATCCCATTGTATCTAGGGTTGCCACCTTTTCTTCAAGCGAAACCCGAACACTCAGGCGACGTGCAGACATTTTTTTGGGAGAATAAGTCGTAGCTTATTCAGATGTAAATAGCGCCGCCCATTCATATGTAAATATCACAGTTGAGACTGTTTTCAGTGGGGGGCCAGTAGCCCCTACCTTAATTTTGGTTTCCCCTGTCTGCCTGACATCTTGTGTCCGGGTTTCTGATGCCATGAAACCCGAACACAGCATTCAAAACCTGGACTGTCCGGGTGAATCCTGGACAGGTGGCAACCCTAATTGTATCCCTATGGTATTTCTGGCTGGTGTGAGCTCCATTCACACCAGCACAGTCGGTTCTGGTCCAGGCAAAAGAAAAATACTGCTTGTCTCATTTTCTCTGGTCTGGAATGCTCTGCAACACATGGAAACGCATCAAAAGCGCATACAAACTCATGCAACCGCACTGAAACGCATTGGACTGCACCTGAAAGCCCAATTTAAGCTAAAAAAAAATGCAGTACACTGCATTTGCAGATCTGCTCCAGATCTGGTCGCGACATGGTGTGAACAAGTTACTCCAGACAATGTTTGTTTGTTTTGCGTAGACTAGTGAAGGGTTGTGTCCCCATTAGGAAGATTTCCCCTAACTTCCTTTCCTTCTGACAAGGTCTTTGGGAGGAAAGGATATTACAAGAATTCACTCCAGTGAGGACAGACACAGCAAAAAAAAGAAAAAACACTTTCCTCCGTAGAATGGGAAAGGTTAGAACCTGTGAGGTTTTTATTGCTCTCTGTGGCTTCCTCATTTCTTGTTCTAGAGTCACTGGGATGAAAAGTGAGGGGAAATCTCCCCAATGATCTCAAAGAAAGCTATACAAATCTGATAGAAGTTGTATCCCTTCTCCATCAATTAATGTATAGAAAACAATGCTTTTTCTGGAGTTGGACTTTAACTTCACTGGAGCAGATTTTGAGCCTTTCTAGTAGAACTCCTCTTTAACAAGACAATGCTTTTGACTGTTTGGATAATCTGTTGCACTGTTGTCTACATTTACTTAAGTAACACTGCCGCTTTCCAAATGTTTGTTGTCTGCAAGCAGGTGAGAAAGAGGACAACTGGGCTCCTTGGGAACAGAAATTCCAATTCTGACAGACACACCTGTCTTACAAAGTCCAAAATAACCTACATATGTGTCTACAAATAAAGAGTGTTTAGTAAAGTAGTATACCTGCAACAGGGATTGTTATCATCAGAGATAGAAAATGTTGTCCAATTCTCTTTTTATCTGGATCGAGAGTGACAGCATTTTTGGTCTTCCAAAGTCCATAGCAATTTGATCATTTCATGTTTGAGGAGATAGTTGCACAAAACAATATAATATGAAATGTTTTGTACTGTGTATATATGGCTGCATAGATATGTTGGGTAACCAGAGTTTGAACACTTATCTGTTATAGTTTCTTAACTATACATCATGGTGTATGAATAGTATGAACAGGCAGAATGTCTGTAACAGAAAAAAGTCTTATAGGGTTTAGATACTCATTAAACAGGGATGAGTTATGGTCATTTTTAAGCTGGTTAGGAAGATATACGACTTCTGTTTAGAGCATCATGGCCATAAATTTGCAAGATGTTATTGAACAATCTCTTTAGCTTGTTACAAGAAAAGACTGAACACAGTGTACATATCTATCTTCTGTTCTAGCTCTGTTCTAGTACTGATAAAGGATAAGACAAAAAAGAAGTTGTGGACTTGTAAGGTACCTCAGACTACACAAACATTGGTGTAAATAATGCAACAGGCGTTATTTATACAGGGTAAAAACAATAGGATGTCTTAAATGATAAATTCACCTTTTGCAAATAATGAATGATATATAAAAAATATGCATTTTTTTAAATATTTGCATTCAAGCCTGGAAAGCATTGCAATTGTGATCACTCGATCACACATGCACATTCTCACTCAGGCACAGCTCATATGGACGTACGGAGTTTCAGTTAGGTGAGATGGGGGAAGGACAGCTGGACTTCAAACTTGCATTAAATCACCTCATACAGCATCCAGCAGAGGCGGCTCTCTAATTAGGCGAGTTAGGCGGTCGCCTAAGGCCTCACCCTCACGGGGGCCTCGCGACTGCCTAATTCAGAAAATCTAAATAGGAACAGAGCCGGCAGCCTTAGAGAACTTACTCCTTCAGGTCCAGCTCTGTTGATTGACAGCAGGCCGTGGGCGGGTGCAATAGCCAGACTGGTATTGCAATTTGAAATAGCCATCAGCAGGCTGGCTATTACTCCCAGCCACTGCAGATCAATCAGTAGAGTAGCGGACCTGAAGGACAACTTTCTTTCTGCTGTTTGACAACAGGCAGTGTGTGTGTGTGTGTGTGTGTGTGTGTGTGGGTGGGGGGGGTTAATAGCCAGCCTGCTATTAGCTATTACAATTTAAAATAGCCAATAGCAGGCTGGCTATTGCACGGCCCACTGGCTGCTGTTTACATTCAGTTGCCGGCTGTGGAATCCTACCGCAGTGGCATGTAAATGGAATATCGGTACCTGATATCGGTTATTGGCCTGAAAGGTGGCCCATACTTGGTATCGGGTCTGAAAAATCAATATCGGTCGACCCCTAGTTTTAACCCTTCTGTATCCTTTCCAAGACCCAAAAAGTTGACTTTACATATACTTTAAATTGCTTCTAAACAACATTATGCAATTTGCATTTGTATAGAATCAGCTGAGTTCACAGATCGAGTTATTTTGTACAAAAGTGTCCCAAATTGGTGGCTTGTGCACCACATGTGGTTCTCTGCATCCTTTTTGTTTTGTTTTTGGCAGCCTCTTATCAGGGTATCAGCATTGGATCCCTGTGTAGTCTAAACATCTGCTACCTCATATACTGTTCATAAACATGAAGTGTTCTGCAATATTATCAAAGGATACGTTGAATTGGGATAACACTTACCAACAAACCAATATAAAAATTGGTATATGTTATTTATTTTTCTTTTTTCTTTGCTATTCTTTTATATTTTTTTTATTCTCTGGTTTTCTTCATTAGTTCCCCCAGGCTTTCTGTGTGGATGGGGGAGGGTATCAACATACAGTGGGGGGGAATTCATCAAAACAGGAGCAAACCGAATCTGGAGCAGTTGCCCGTAGCAACCAATCAGCATCTCTCTACAGTTTGCTCAGGTAAGATTTGAAAATGAGAGAGAGATGCCGATTGGCTGCAGTGCAAATCTGTTTCAGATTTTGTCTGCTTCAGTTTTGATAAATCACCCCCATTGTGTAGTAACTAATGTGTCCCAAAGCATACGGAAGTAGGTAACAAACCTTAATTTTCTTTATGTAGCATTATTTCTTCTTCCAAACTATAGCTTAAGCTTCCAAATAGATAAATAATCAAGTTTTCCTTGCAGTTTTTCCTGCTCAGTGTGATTCAGACTTTTCCTAAAAGTTTTCCTGTGAGTTGGAGGCCTCTATTATAAAGTAAACAAAGTTTTAATTCAGTTCACGCTGTCAATAAGAAGAAAAACATTAACAATTTAGATAGTGTAGAGAACTGTAATGGGTGATAATGTATATCACGTATGATAAATAATTAAACTAAGGCTTCTATTTTTGTGTTCCTACATATTACAGGACAGACGGCTACTGCTTCTCGATCATAGAAGAAGATGAATCGGGGCTCCCTGTGATCACCTCTGGCTGCTTAGGATTAGAGGGCTCTGATTTTCAATGCCGAGTAAGTTGGTGACTACTTACAATAGCCACCACTGTTCAGGTGACAATGTTCCCTCTAAGAAGCCTTCTAAAAAGCATTGTCTGACCACCTGTAATACCTTAGTAAACAGATACCTTGCAGCCAAAATGTTAGCTTGCACTTTATTATTATTAGTAAGTAGATACTATTTCATTTGGTGCTTAGAGATAAAGGCTGACTTCCATATGATCTCTGTTTGTAACAGCATTGTGCGGACGACAAAGAGGCGTTCTGTTGCACAGCTGCACATCTGAGCAACTGAAGAGATTTGTGAGCAGTGATTTAAACTTTTTGCTGTTAGAGAAGGGCATGCAACAAGTTCCTATCCCTTAGCATAAAAAAAGTGAATAATTGCAGGAGATAATAAGGACATCTGTGTTACTGACATCCTCTGGAATGTGTTCATATAAGGCATCCAATTCATATTTGATAAAAAGAATCGTGCACTTTTGACCTTATTTTATTTCAGTGCAGTTATGAATTTAATGAATGATAGATTATGCTAAAACGTTCTCCTTTTGTGTCGTTTCCCACACCCTGAGCTAGATCATCCGTTATTTCCTAGATGGCTTTTATTAGGGCGTGAATGTCTATGTGTGGTCAAGGGAAGAATGCATGTGTTGTAGCTTACAAGCTCTTTATCACTCCCTGCATTGGATGTTCTCAACAACAAGATACGACAGTGGACCAGATAAACTATGATTGGTGGTTGTTGAGAAATGGATATTGTCGCATGTGACATCTTATTTTGTGACATCTTATTTTGTCGCATTCCATATCAAATAAACTAGAACAGTTAATTTTAGGGAATAGTAGAATGTGTTCAGCTGGCCATACACCTATACAGTATATTATCTGCAGATTTTCTCTGATCAGATGGAAAAAGTGCAACAGATTCCTCCATCTACACTAAACTGTATGGATGGAGTAATCTCCCACTGGGCCAAGCTGCAGTATCTTGCTTGTCGGCCCCGCTGGCTCTCAAAATACTTTAGCAATGCCTGCATCCAATCAGATTGTTCAGGTATTTTGAGAGCCAGCAGGGCCGACTGGCAAGATGATAAAGCTTGGCCCAGTGGGAGATTCCTCCAACCACACACTTTAGCGTAGATGGAGGAATCTGTTGCACTTTTTCCATCTGACCAGAGAAAATCTGTAGATAATCTATAGGTGTATGGCCAGCTTAACTCTCTTGCACCTTCATCCTTTTGGCACACTACTTCATGCCTCTATTGTGAAATTCTGACAAACAATTGATGCATTGGTTACTAAACTGAACTATTATTTGCAGAATCCAGAAAGCAGGTTTGTCTGGTACAAGCAGGCCCAGTATGTTCTCTTAGTATGCCCAAGTCTGACAATAATTCATTGCTATATATGCAATATTCCTTTTTTTTGTTTGTTTTATTTGGATACTGTAAAAGGTACTACTTGATGATTTGATGACTTGATTACCTTTTTTTTTTCTTTTTTACGACCATGGACATTATAAGATTTGTGCACTGCCAGAACAATAGAAGTTGTATATACAGTAGATATAAACTTCTAAGTTGGCCATATACATTAGGACTTCTGAAAATACTGCTTGGCTCGTTGTTCGGCTGCAATACTTTCTGAACCAATGAAAAGGGACAAAAGCAGATTAGACAGTCTGTGAAGTCCAAACTACTGCTCTGTGTACTTGTTTAAGGTCATTGACCCGACAAGTAATACAGCTACTCTGAGCTTGGGAATGAGTCATGTAGGACCCCAGAAGCTGGAATATGATGGAGGTTTTTTATCTGCTGCATTGTGTATTGCTGCAATGCTGCATTAATTAAATAATTATTGTTAATGATTGATTAAAAAAGCTTTTACATTTTAATAGGAATTACAGCAGCTATGATACTTTGGTGCATTCATTTTGCAACCAGTCCGGAATCTTTCTTTTAACTGAATTACATTTGTCTTTCTAGTCCTTGTTTTTCATTGTTGTTTTCTTTATCGGTTTGTATTAGGACACACCTATCCCACATCAGAGGAGGTCCATTGAATGTTGCACAGATGAAGACTTTTGTAACAGAGATCTTCATCCTACCTTGCCGCCGCTTAAAAACAAAGGTATTTTAACAGAGTTATGTTTGATTTAAACATGGAAGATTCATAGCTGAGGCAATGATCTGTCATTGTATATTTTTTTTAGGAAACGTGGGCATAGCAGGTAATGGATTGTCAGATATTGTAAAGAGTGGTATCAGTGGAGTCTTTGAGTAGGAATTATGTGTAATCATAAAGTATGGCAGATGCCACATTTGTAATTAGTGGAATGATATCTATATTATTGGACATTCTTAAGATATTTGTATAACCACACACTTTAGCGTAGATGGAGGAATCTGTTGCACTTTTTCCACTTTTTCCTCTGGATAGGCAGAGCCAGCTGTCACTCACGCAGCTGGGCGGATCCAGACATAATTGTCGGGATCCGCTTCAGCTGCGTCGTCTCAGTATACTGTGGCGTCTCAGCAGCTCGCGGTATACTGAGCTGAGGATGACGGTAGGACGCTAGTTTGTGTCCTCCCGTTACCCTAAGGAGAAAAGCCTTAACCCCATAGTTCTCCTTTAACTTTGTATTGTAATTCCAGACTACTGTACTTGTTAGTTTAATAGATTATTTCACAACCCACATATTTCAGACTTAAACAAACCACTGACTGCTCACATTCAGAATGTATACTGAATAATTAATTTGTTATAGATATAGTTCATTAGAAGTGTAAGGAATTTACACTGAAATGAGGAGTAAGCTCTGTCTTTCTTTTGAAATCCTGTTCTTTTAGTTATCACACTAAAATGATAATTCTAGTCAAGGTCTAAATAATTCATCACAACTACCTTTCTAAATAAAATAATCAGACAGTGATCATCTATGACAGAAGTAAAACCAGCTTTTGACTGTGGATAACTTACAGTTTTGTGAACAGGGAGGACTTCCAGACAATATGCTTAATGATTCATCTGATCATATTGTAATTCAAATAAAATGTTAATATAAGAACAGCATCATTACTAATACAAAACTGTCCAAAAACATAGTGCCTTACTAAATCAGGGTAGGAAGTTAAAGTGATACTAAACTCAGGAGTTAAATCTTAAAAATGCATTCAAGTACCTTACCTTATTACCTAATATGTTTCGGCGGCCAATATATCGGTGCATCCCTACTTATTTGTGTATTACTTAGCTGTAGATCCTCAAATCATCTCTGAATTCATGCTGACACTGTCCTCCCTTCTGGAGGGTGGCTACTTTTGTTCCCCATTGTCTCTGTGTGTTGTAAAGTAGCCACTGCTCCAAGCTCACTTGTGTCATGGACTACAATCTCATGTTTAGTTTGCTAATTTCTATCGAGTTTCTAATCTATCACCGTAGAGAGCTTGGAGCAGTGGCTTCTTTACAACACCCATAGGGACCATGGGGAACAAAAAGCAACCACCCTCCAGAAGGAAGGACAGTGTCAGCACCAATTCAGAGATGATTCGAGGATCTACAACCAAGTGATACACAAATAAGATAAATGTTTGTTAATAGTTAAGGTACTTGAATGCATTTCTAAGATTTAACGCCTAAGTTTAGTGTCACTTTTAGCACAAAGGCTACTATCAATAAATTGGAAAACATTACTAGTCACATTAAACTAAAATGTAGCAAGCTGAAATCTGATTGATTGTTAAAGGTCGCTGCACATCATTGCACAGTTTTATTAGATAAGCCTTATATAACATTCTATCTTGTATTGCTTGACTAAGAACCAAGCAAATCCCTAGACTGGAGGCATTCCATTTATATTCATTTCTTACTCACTTCTATATAACATGTGATACTTGCCCGAAACAAAACAAAGAAGCCTCTTAAGAACATACTAAATCTAGAATAATTAGAAAAAGTCAAACAAGATTATCCTTGGAGTGATCTCCCACCTGCCTTTGTATCACTTATGAAAACATCACAAAAAATACCAGTGGCTATAGTAGGGTTATCTTACAACCTGCTTTTACACACAGGGTTTTAAACCAAAATAAACATATGTTCCAATATGTAATCACTAAGAGCAAGCCTAAAACCATTTATTAAAAATGAAACCACTTCATTTTATCAGAGGAATAATTTACAGAAATCGAAGTGCAGGACTCCTCATGCTATATGTATCAATACTTTTACTGATAATCTTTATACATTGAGTGAAGTGTTCAGCTTTTCTACTGAGAAAAAGTGGCTTAGGGCTCATACTTATAAGGTGTTTAAATACAAGTTGAAACAGAGTCCCGGCGGCAAAAGTCACCGGGAGTCTGTTTAAACAGCCCCGATGCTGGCGACGTACACTGTACGTCGTCAGTCACGAAGGGGATAATGTATTTATGTATTCGTTTTTCAACACAAATTTATGCAGGCACTTTAGTAAGAATTTGTGTGTATACACATGGACTCTTACATTTTAAACATTGACACCCATATGTATGAACCCTTATTGAATTAGTGACATATTTCTAAAAAAAAAATCATCAGTTTTAGATAAATAATTCCTCTATTACATCAGTCTAAGTTCATGCAGCAGGTGAGGGAGTAGTCAATGAATGTTGATTATAACACCATGCAAAATATAGGCCACTAGTCTGTAATATTTGGCATTGGAGGTCTGCCATCAACAACCTCACTGGTTTTTAGGTACAGTATGTGTAATTAGAGGACTTTGTTTTGTTAGGGGAGAAGGTTATTTTTTGTTTGGTTTAAATAACCCATACTTAAAGTGTATGTTTTTTGTTTTGTGTAGGGAATAGTTAAGACCCATGTCATTTTCTTTTTATGTATCCCATCAGGAAGCTATCCTTTTGCTTCCTGTCCTAGAGAAGTAAAAGAAGACCTCTCAAAATTGAAGGGATATACCATCTTAGACAGCTGTCACCATACTAGGTTTACTTATCACAGAAAACAGATTGCCACTAGTAGGACATCAAAAAGGTTAAGTGGAAAACATACAATCATAACAATAATATTACTGTAAATATTATTTATTAATTTAGAACCATAAATATTCATCACAAATGTATCCACATATACCCCCCTCCCCCAAAGAAACAATTGCACAACCACCATCCCGCCTTCTTAAAAACAATATGATGGCTCGAAAGGGTTTATTCTGATGAAATGAATTATATTTACAGTATATTTATTGTTATGATTGTATGTTTTTCCACTTAACCTTTTTGATGTCCTACTGGTGGGAATCTGTTTTGGCCTTATTAGGGCACAAAGGTTTTAATTGGAAAACTATTTAAGGGATAAGATTTCACATATTATTGTGAGTTACTTTAGGATATTACTATATATTGTGTTGATAAATCCACCCCTTCTTTGGGTTTCCCCTGTGTTTGTGCTAGTTTACCCATTAGTGGATTTCACTCACCTCCTGTTCCTGTGCCAAGTTATTTTTTTATTTTATTTCTTATCACTTTCTACTGAAGACAATGGTCACTAGGGTCAGTGGTGAGGGTGAGGCAGGACATCAGTAAAAACTATACAGAAATTCTAATCTTTCCACATTTAACCATAACTAAAAAGATTTGGCTTTATTTACACTTTAAAACCCAGTGAAAAAAAAGTTATGAAGTTGTATATTATCATGTATACATTGAGCTATAAAATATAGAATTCTGGTATTTTTATTATGTAAGTAATGTGGTTTTCTTACCATATTAGGGCATTTTTTTTATTGTAATATATTGTTTTGGGCTTGTTGCGATAATCAGAACAGATCACAATGTAGCAGCATGTATGATTTCATGTTTCTACAAAACCACAGAATTAAGCATTATCATAAATCAAATATATTATGGTACTAAGATGAGGTTTCTCCTACTATAAGTGGCTTTTGTTGTGTCAAACCTCTGAAAAGGTTTTCCCTGGGTGGTAGCTTATGACTAAGGGCAACATTTAGAGGAAGCCAGGGTTAGAATTTTGTCTTGACTGCAGGTCAGACACAATTAACCTTTACTGCAAGGTTATATTAAAAACAAATGGGAATGCAGTTCTTGGAAGATGTGAACACAGTAAGACAAACAATTGATGGCAATTCATGAACAGTGTTCAAAGGGTAAGCAACAAATGTGTAAATTTAGTCTTTATAGATAAAATATTGCTTCCCAATTTCTATAGCCTCTATGTATGAGCTGTTAAAACACAAAGAATGCAAAAATGATCAATAATAATGATCAAATAAATAAAAACTATTAATGTTTGCTTTGGTGACAATAGACATTTTTGCAATTCTGTTTTGGAGATATGTTATTGCTAATTGGTTTACAAATATACAGTTACAACAGTTCAAGTTTTGAAACCATATATTTAAATCTATACTTTTCTGTATTTCCTGCTGTTCAACTTCAGTTGTAAAAAAAATTATTTAATTTAACAATAGCTCAGCAAGCTGTGCTTGAAAAATAGGAGTATTCAAAACAATTATTTATGGCTTTAGAGCCTACATAGAAGAAAATGTTCATGTGCATTGTATAGAAGACAATCAACTATTCTGCTAGAGCATATCTAATCACATGAAAGATTTTTAGAAAATGTGCTGTCCATTTCCTAAGGTGAATCTGTGAACCTTACTGCCACTCTCCCCTGGTTTTACATACTCATATTTCTCCTGCTCCCCCATCATTAGTAAGTGAAACATCAGCAGCTTCCAACAGACAGGTATTTAGCTTTACAATAAATGAAAGTGGTAACAGTACAACCGCTGTGTAATTTTCACTGCCTAGCAATGTGTAGTTATGAAGATAACAGCCAGTGCCATAACGACTTATGATGTGGCCCCATAGCAAAACCATTATCGGGGAATGGGTAATCTTACCCCTCTCTTCTCGATCCCTAATTTAATTCCCTGTATCCTATGTAGTATCCTAATGTGCTTGCCAAAGGCTATTACTACCTGCATAAATTATTGTTTAGCCAGGCAGCACTGGATCCCCTGCTTGTGACAGGTTTACTTTAAACTAAAAGTCAAACCTCACCTGGGCCAGCTATCCATACTAGTGAAATGTGGACAGACTTTCATGCTTACA